TATCGTTCGATCTTATTGATTATTATCTAATATTGAATTAGACGCATTTGCGTGTATAATAAATGTTGTCATTTGGGGTCAAGAATAAGCCGACGGCACCCCTCCTCGCAAAGAAATGAGCCCATTTATTATACTTAGATATACCTTTTAACTCTCGTGCAAACGAAACTTGTCTACGTATGTAGTCTACGTGAGAATTCGAGAAACTAATTCTTACAATCTAAAAATATCTTCTGGCTTTAAATAACCTGTAAAGAGTTAAGTCGTAGAAAACGCATCAATCACACTTTTATTAGTTGGTTTAAACCTACTTCTGATAAACAAACAACAAGATAGAATAAAATTAATAATAAAATAGCAATATAAACGCTTTATTTAATTATTTTAAATCCACTATTATTTAATAATAAAACAAAGATGGCGTATAGAATGAGAAAATATTAAATCTGTTCCATGCTTACTAATCGAGGTTTTTGCGACCGCGATTATTAAGGTGATATTATTTTTAATTGGTATCACCCAAGTGCAAGGCAGTAATACCACTAAAACCCAAGGGGTTATAGGATGTGGAAGAATTAGGAACAGAAACATTAATGATGAACATAAAGAGAAGATTATAATCAGGCGAACAGTCGATAGCGATTGACATTGCATTTAAATTTTTGCAGATTAAAGTTGGCTGGAAAGCATGGAGCCGGAAGGGAGTTCCACAAGCGAGAAGTGCAAAAGAAGGAACTGTTAGCATAGAATTTACGGTTACATCTATCTATCTCAACTGTAAAATGATGAGATCTCGACGCCAGTCTGCTAAAGACAATCTCTCAAGGTGTGGGATATGTGTTGAAGTCTCGTCAGAAGCTGCATTTCCGATTGCCGGCAATTTCCTTTTTGAAATATCGCTTTGCCGGTTAAGCAGCAGAAACTCAACCAGAAGACATCGTTCATCGAAATCATTTATGCTGTTCTCTGATATTTATTAAGTCCTTATAAGGTCTTATCTATTTACATTAAGTGCATTAGATGTTAACGTCTTTATTTCCGGACTTTGTTGCTTATTTAATAATATTAGTGTAATCGAGGAAAAGACGCCAAAATAGATTTTGCACTCGGCATCCATCAGAGAAATCAGACGCATTCGCAGGTTGACTTAGAAAATGACTTCCGAGCCGCCGGGTGTTGATCTGGGCCATTGATTGATGTCAGTGGCTGCCCCAAACGGATAAACATCTGGTCGACTCAGCTGTGCTTAGAATATGTACATGTGGACAAACCGGATGATAGGTAGATATATCTGCGCTCAAAAGAGGGAGAAGAATAGGCTCTTACATCCCCACAAGAATGCAGAATCCATATTCGGAGACCCTTCCCCCAAATCACACACTTATTCGTTGATAGTAATTGACGATTTTAAGCATGAGAATTAATCTTGTATTTTATTAATTAACAGGACGATAATATTAACCTCTATTTATCTAAAGTGGGATTGAAAACCCCAGGATGAAAACATTGGGCCGGTTTGGTAGGGTGAATCGTTTTGAATTTCATACCTCACCAGATGATCGGTGTTCGAACCCAGGGCACATTTTTGAATACTTATTTACTAAAAGAATAGTGCTATGTTATATTCGTACCATTATTTGGTCGTATGTCATACTAAGATAAATTCAGTGAATTAAGGCTAATATTCCCAGACTCCATGAATTCAAGCGCCCTACGAGGCTGGCATCCCGCTCTCACCCTTACACTGTAGAAACTTTTAAATGTAGCCGTCTCTTCTACTCCAATAGCTTCATACCTCGCACCTCTCGCTTGTGGAACACCCTTCCCAATTACTGTTTCCCTGAGAGCTATAATCTCCAACTATTCAAATGTAATGTCAATCGACACCTCCAGTTACTTTGATCTATCCACTATCCCTCTTCTCATCCTTTCTTCTATCACTCCTATCTGCTCTTGCTCCAAATCTTCTGCAACCCCCTGCGTCCTAGTGGCTTGCTCGGGGCGTAATGCTTAAAAAAAAAATTAAATAAAAACGCTGTAAAGCACTGTAGTTTGCATAATTCCTGTAAAGAGAGCAGAAGAAAGGTGATGGGCGCCGCTAACATTTTAAAACTTCTTTCTCGCACTGCATTTAATGGTGAAAATATTTGCAAAGCACTGCAGGTGTTCTACTTTGAGGAATCTAAAAACGCTGCCACCTCCACTCACCCGCAAAGAGGCAACCAGAGTGTAATTCGCTTCTTCCAGAAGATCTGGAGTGGTCTGTCAGTTTTTCAAGGTCTCGCACTTCAAGAAAGCTCACGGATCTCAAGGGGGGGAAAAAAAAAAAAAAAGGAAAAAAGATATTTTGTGTAAAGAAAGTCTTGTACGGAGCCATCGAATTGCTGATGCCAAATCCTCGTTTTCTTCACTTTAGCATCTTCTGTTTGTGTCATTCCTTTCTTATGCACTATAACGGTGACCCTGGAAACCATTGCAATGTACCCCGCTCCTCCTCGTGTCACGTCATCGCGCGCTGTGTGGCACAACATTAAGTTTATTTTGTCGTGTCACTGCTTGTCTTTCAGCTGCGCTCTTTCCTGGCACTGACCATCCCTTCATGCCTGTTAGACGGTCTGTCCGGTGGGTGAAACCCAACGTCAGTCGGTTGACGTTATTACTGGAGACATTCCTGCCTTCTTTGACCCTCCGTTAAAAATAGAGACGGCCCCTCTTTCTTTTCGGAGTTGACGAGCAGCTATTAAGATCGGCATGGTGAAAGGGCTAGGGAGCGAAAAGAGCGGCAAAGGGGCGAGAGATGAGAAATCAAAAAACAAAAACGTAACAAACAAACGGAAAGAAAGGAGATAGAAGGAAAGGTCATAATACAGAAAAAAAATTCGAAGTTAAAGAATCGAGTTTGTCTGAAGGTGAGATTTTAGGCGGAGGAGGAAAGTTAGCGATGAAATGAAAGAAAACAAAAATCTCTTATCGATCTTTCTTGATTACACTAATTTGATTGACCAATTGGACTAACCTGACACTGCTTGCCCTCCCCACTGAAACAGCTGCTAACTTTTTGCTATAATTATGGCTTCGTAGGCTTGGCGGATTTAGCTAGAGTGGCAGATGCCAGAAATGGAATGTTTGAATAAAGGAGGCACGGAATGGATAAGCGGCTCGGATTGAGGAATCTGAGAGCCTAGTTCGAATTCCAGTCGAATCCATTGCATTCACTTATGGGAAAGGTATGAATCTTCTGCTTCTCCCGCCAGCAATGGGTAAATAGCATAACAGAACGTGTTCTATAGCCTTGGATGGCAACTGGTCTACCGCAGAAAGAAATGGCAACCTACTGCGGGGAAAAAAATCTGCCTCATCAGTCATGTATCAAAAGATACATGATCGCCTAAGCGTGTATCACTGACTGACTATGGTTTCTTAGGCTTGGCGGATTTAGCTAGAGTGGTAGATGCCAGAAAAGGAAAGTTTGAATAAAGGATGGCTTCACTTGTCTATACAAAACGAAGACAAAAACAGATTTTATATTAAGTCAAAAACCAACATACAAAAAAAGTAACATGTGTTTTATAGCTTTAAAATCTGTTTTCTTCTTTTTTTTGTTGTTCATGCATGAGCAGTAGATATTTAAAAATACATGTTCTACAAGGAATATGAATTCTGAAGAAAAAAAAAACTCATGGAACGATAAAGCTAGTCCCCCAGATAAATATTTCTATCGTGTTATAAGGACGATTATATTTAGAATGTGAACGAGACAAGTGAAATTTCTAGGACGCATAATGAGAAAAGAAGGCTTGTAAAACTTGACATTCACAGGACATATTAAAAACCAGATATGTAGATGAGAATGGCGTGTAATCTACTTAGCGTGTGTAAATAGATGGATGAAGGTGTGGGGGGTACAATCGTAAAGAGAGTGCTAAGATTTACAAAGGATAGAAAGAGAGAGAAAAGATCATCCATATCCAACGGTGATATGGTACATATAAGTGCTTTACTTGGATTTGAGGCTAGCATAAGTTATCGGAAAGATATCAATCTATTTCCCCTCTCCCTATGTGTTAAATAACAGAGGAAACAAAACTGTCTAGTTTTTGATGCTTCTCCCCAATCTCTATATTCTTAACTAATTCAGACATATGGTAAATCTTTGTCTATCCTTAATATCCTCATTTTCACTTCCTATTTGTTTAGCTTACGTTCGTATTCTGAGAGAACTAGAAGTCATATAATAATTCATTATTGTCAGTCACAATCTTAACAACATAAGATATGCAGATGACCCAATGTTGATAGCAGACACAGAAAGGAAACCACAAGAACTTCTACAGAAGGTAGTGAAGGAAAGCGAGAAGAAAGGACTAAACAAGACATAGCAACAGGAAAAGCCCAACATGTAAATTACTAATTAGAAATACCGAAATAAAAGTACTACAATTTAAATATATAGGAAGTATTTTAACAAAGTTCGGAAAGTACGACACTGAAATCATGACTCATCTATATGAGTGGCTCTTGGGCCTTGTAATGGGTGAGATCTAGTAGAAAATTTCTGTTAGACTGCTAATCAAGGCTGAAAAGCCCAGTATGAACTACTATTTAATCTATAGTTGGGAGATGAATTCATAGCATTTCTAAGGGTATTTACGCGAAAGTGTACGGCGATTTTCTTAGCTTGCACGAGGCCGAAAGAAAGGGCGCCCAGTGAGGATCGAACTCGCTATTTAGTCGTAATTGATCTAAAGAAACAAGCTTGCTCACCAGTACACTCTACTCGAAAATGTAATGAAACTCTATTGGAATTCGAACTTGGCTCCCCGATTTCTCAATCCTAGTTACACCAGCCGCACATCCAAATATTTTATCTTTTAGTTTTCTGTCTTCTTAATTGTTATTTTTTTTCTCTCATCTGTTCATTTCTTTGTATATTTTATTGCAGGTTGTTTGGAACGAAATGTGCCAAGTGCGGTCTTGGTTTTAGCCGGAACGACTTCGTGATGCGTGCCAAAAGTAAAATCTATCACATCGACTGCTTCCGTTGTGTGGCTTGCAGCCGGCAGCTGATACCCGGAGACGAGTTTGCTCTCCGCGAGGACGGTCTGTTTTGCAAGTCTGACCACGACGTCGTCGAACGGGCCGCGTCCGGCAACCAGAATGGCAACTCTGGCGGCGGAGCAGATGCCAACGGCAATTCCACACCAAACAGCAGTTTGCATTCCAATGGAAACTCCAACAGCAGCAGCGAGGGACGGATGGGACAAGGATTACAGATGGCCGGTAAGTGTAGAATTCCCCAGAATCGCTTTTCTATTCTGAAATTCACGTTCTACGTTTGTTGAAACACCGGTTCTCGTATGATCACTATTAAGGAACATGCTTTCAACTTGGTAGCAAATCATTGACTCGTGAAGAATTCTAATTCGTTTCCCTACTAACACAAGGTTAGAGGATTATTGACTGAGATTATAAAGGATGGGGAGTAAAAGTATTGTGAAGTAGTGTAAGATAGATTTTAGGTGAAACTGAACTTAAACTTTCCATAGAATCCTTTCATATATATATATATATATATATATATATATATATATATATATATATATATATTAGATCAGCCGATTCCGTTACCTTTAATTTCAAACTTTCGGTATTTTCGGGTGACTTCGATCAATTGATTTCCTAACGCTTTTTTATTTTTTAGAAATTTAATTAAAATTTTATTAAATGGTATATATAGTTATTCTTTTTTTTATACGTGTATTGGGCACTTTTAATACTACTGATTCCTGGTCTAATCAAACTCTGATCATTAACTTATATAAAAATTTAGTCTTTGGCAAAAATGATCATCGCCCAAACAAAAAGAACAGCTAAATTAAGAGACTGATCAATACAATTTTCATAAAACGAAAATGTAGGGTAAATTAAGATATAAAATATTCGAAACACTGACCTTTATACAAGCATGATTTCTACCAAGATGTTTTCGTCAGTTCTTATTGCCTGACGGAACCAACTTGGTAGAAAACATGGCTGCATAAAGGTCAGTGTTTGGAATGTTATATCGTTGGACAGCAACCTTTCTTTCAAATGTGCTTCGTTGAGTACAACAGAAGGAAAATTTCATGATTTTTTTTTTTTATTTAGTTTTTCTAATATTCTTACATTTTTTTTCCGTTTTGTTTGTGGAGAGAAGGGATGTAAAAATTTTCCGTATTTTTCGTGTATTGTTCCAAGAGCTCTCGGCCACTTCTTTAGCTATTTTGATGTATATTTTGATATCGTTCATATGAAACTCGATTATAACAAATAGAACGTTGAAATAAAAAAAAAAATTATATTATTTCGGAGTGACAAGACTTTCGGACCACACTGTACAATTCGGAATCATAGTGCATTGACTACATGAAAGATATGTCAATGTACAAGCTATAAACACAGAGTAGAAAGACACTAAAATCTCCGTAATTACAACTTATAACTGATGTTCGCATGTAATAAAATTTTTGAACAGAAAATAGTTTCATTGGTAAGATGTTTTATAGGTAGTGGCAAAAAGTACGCAGGTATAGATTTTAAGCTTTATTCAACTGAGAATACAAGGTTCGCGTATAGTGACCTTTTATAGTCCCAGTAAACAGAAATAACTATCTCAAAGAGGAGAATAACAAAATAAGGGGTGACGACTCTTGATTAGTCATAACAATAGGATTATCACAACATGAAATTAATACCAATGCACAATACAGGATCTATAGATAGACAAAAATCACTAGATATTTTTTGGTGGAATTACGATCGTTTACATTTAATTTATTGTAAGATGATACTTGTTCTTCGTTGAACCGTCAAACCTACAACCAAATAGTAAAATCTAGGTTCAATTTTTAGAGGTTGAATTTAACTTGATACATTGTATGTAAATGTTATTCTTAGTTCTGTTAAATTTCCTGATTCTAGGTTAGTAGGAATATCAACTCATCGAAACAAACACGACTCGTGCTTTTTGAATGTTAGCTGCAATATGAAATGCTAATGCTTAAGGACAAGTGAATCTCTCCATGACTAACAGACACAGAAGTTGCTAATTCGTACTTCTTCTTTCTTTTCTAGTGGACTATTATTTGTTTCTCATTCAACTTTTGAAGATTATGGTTCTTTTTTCGTCTTTCTTTCTCAGTTTATTTCTTCCCTTACAACCCACCATGGAAAAAAAAAGAAACGAGAAGAATAAAAGTAAATAAAAAAGAAAAAAAGTTACTTCCGGGTATGCCAAGGCGAGTGTGTAATACTTCCGGTAAAATTAATCTCAGCAGGTAGTAGTGATCACGTGTCTAAGTTGAAGATGTGGAACGAGACACACTATGTGGTTATCAAATAATCACACGCAATGAGCACTAAAGAAAGTAAAGGAAGAAAAAGAAATAAGACGAAGACAGTTTTGAGGACAAACAGACTAAAATGGAAAGTGAATGAAAAAAAGTGTGGGGGGTGTGAGTGTTTAAGCAGCACTCTTTCATAAAAAATGGATTACAGGCGATAGACAAGGGATTTTTATTTTAATTTTTTTTTTTTCGTTAACTTTTCTTGTTTTACGTTCAAGAAAACATGTCTGAATCCAATAAGTATTATCTAAATGATTTTGATCTATCGCTTTCCCGTGATTCTGGCCATTGTCAAGATCAGCAAAATATTGTAGATGTGATTATTTTTTTTTATAAATTTTTAAATAAATCGGTGTTTACTATCTGTGAGCTCTGGTGACGTCATATACGATGTTACAGGCGTGTGAAATTCTTCACTAGGTTGAACGAGTGCTTTCCTTTGTTAAATGTATGTATAATTCAAATTCCGATTTTTATTGTTTTTCATTTCTTGATTTTGACATAACTTCTCGAATTGGATTTTGTTTAATCTATACTCAGTTAAGTGCCATACATGATACACGATTTGGCGATCATCTGTCTTTTGATTCATGACTAATTAGACTGAAGATTTTATCCCTCATTAGGTTGCCGTTTCTTTCTGCGGTAGTCTATAGCACCCAGCATACCTTCCTATTCAACTCGTAGCTGGGGGAGGGGAAGAGATGGATTCATATTTTTCCCAAGGATATTTGCGCGTTAAGTGAATATAACAAACCCAATTGGAACTCGAAATAACTGCGTATTATTTACGAGTACATTGCTCGGTCTTTATTTTTCTAGTAGTTTGTGTCTCGTAATAGTACTTTGACCTGACAAATGACAGGTTAACCTCAAGGATAGGTTGGTCGTTGTATATCATAGAAGAAAAATGAGTGCAAGAAGATACGCATTTATAAACGTTGTCTCTCAAAAGAATCTGCTAGCGATTAATCGATTCCGAGGATATAACACTCTTTAGAGTCTATATACCATACCCTTTTAGGATATAAGCGATTATGCCCCCCACCCAGGGATTTATTTTCTTTACCTTTATGAATTAGTATTAAATATACATCAGATATCGACAGAATGATAGGATTAGGAACAAACAGAAAATAAATTTAACATGTTTCGCTTTTATTTAAGCTTTATCACAATATGAAATATGGAGGAGAAAAGTTCTGGTGTTTTTGTTTTTATTTGGTGAAGCACACCTCACGCATATCTGTCCTGTAAATGAATCATGGTATATTAATAATCTATAGCATAAAATCTAAAGAACCTGCAATGCTACTGCTCCTGATCTGGTATCTCGGCTTCAGTTTCTGATAGTCGTAACATAACTTCCCTGCGCTTATTCTATAAATACTTTCATGGTAATTGTTCTGATTAACTCTTTTCTATGGTACCTAGACTTTAGGAATTTAAGCCCAATACTACATTAGTGGCAAGGTTTCATCATTGTACAGTTGAAATGGCCAGATGTAACCGTATGTTCTATGCTAACAGTTTCTTCTATCACAGCTCTTGCTTGTAGAACTCTCTTCCGGCTTCTTGCTTCTTAGTCAAATTTGATCTTCAGGCTACAATTTCACGCACAAAAACACACAGCGTCGCATAGTGGTCTTCTATGTCAGCATAGCAGGGTCGGCTGCTATATTTGGTTATTGTGTGCTGTGTGTGTTTTGTGTGGTGGTTGGAGTCTGTTTGGTATTGGTTTGGATCTGTTTTTTTTTTGTTTTTTTTTTTTTTGTATTTGTAGGTAAGAGTAGTTTTCTGTTTAGTATATTGACAGAATTATGGAAAATAGAGTATAATATATATTTTACAATAAAAAAGATTCACATTTCAACCAAAAAGGTTTGCGGTTTATCTTCTTTCTAACACACACACACTTACATATAAGTGCGTAGGTATGCAGAAAATAGAAAAGAACACGTTGGGTGCATAATCCGGGGTTCCTTAGTATTTTTGTTTTTATTTTTAAGAAGACAGTGCTCCATACAGAAGTAGAGCTTATATTATGATAATATTTTTTGTTTAAAAATATGATTCCTTCGCTAATCATATTTTTAAACAAAAAATATTATATATATAATGGTGGACTCTCTCGACGTATGAGGGTCAAGCAGCTCAATTGTTCGGAACCGACAGCCAGATACCAGATTATAGTAGTGAAGTCTTTGTGTAGAACCAACCACACATTTTGAAGGGCCGAATACAGATATCTGGTACACTACATGTCACAAGGTCCCCAAACGACCCTCCGCAGGTTTTGAATACAGAATTGTCCTTCTCCTAGACCAGTTGCCATTCAAGGTTATAGAAACATGTCTGTCCTGATATTTACCTATAGCTGGAGGGAGAAGAGGAATAATACCTTTCCCAAGGATATTAGCACGTAAGTGAATGTAATGATTTCGACTGGAATCCGAACTCGGCACCGATTCCTCAATTTGAGCCGCTCTCCACACACACACATATATATATATATATATATATATATATATATATATATATGTGTGTGTGTGTGAGAAAATGAGCAGTAACCTTCCCACTCTAGACTGAGACAAAAAAGAACAGGGTGACAAACAGACAGAAGTAAAGACAGAAACCGAATGAATCTTTCAGCGTTTCCTTCACTTGCCAAATCTCACCACATCCCCCTCTACCTTTTCTTCTCACAGAAACCCTAATCTTTTTTATTTGATTTTTATTTCTCCTTTTTTAATTTTTAAAAATATTTATTCGTTTATTTTGCAAGGAATTAATCAGAGTAGTAGTAGAATGGGTGGGGTTCCTGGGATGTGGCGGGTCGATGAAAGGAGAGACTAACCCGATAGCTGTTAACGAAACACTGTAGTTTCACATTTT